AACCAAATCCAAAGATATTCATTTATATGTATTAAAAATGTGCTCGCATCGTGTGACAGTATTGTTAGTATAAACAACTTCCATCACTTTGAAACTACAATCGCACCAACCGATTTTGTTTACAATAAAACTTTGTTTTGTTTTCAATAGGATTTCTTGAGAATTATATGAGAGTGTTTGAAGCGTGGTTTGGGCGATCAATTGGTTTTATTGTCATTTCAATTTCAACAATTTTGTGTGTTCGCTGTTTGCTGTGGAATGGATATATTCACAGTTAGTTTTGTGTTCATTTTTGTTTTAATTTCGAAATAACAGAGTGTTGATAAAATTTACTGTGGATATTCCAACAACATTTCGAACAGAAAAATATTTGATGTCACATTGGAAATAAATTTCATCATTCGATTTAGAATACAGAGTCCTTTGTTGAGGTAAGACGTGATATTTATAATGCGTTCCTCATTACTGTTTCATTTGATTTGTGATAGAAGTGTTTTTATCTTATTGTGTTTTTTTAATTATCAAACAGAAAGAAATTTGAACAATAATTGCTTTGACACAGTGGAAATTTTTAAGAGAATTAATATGATTCCTTTTGATGCTAGAAAAATTATATGTTTTCAATTAAATGTTGATGTTATTTGAAATTGACATTAACGATTGACTCGTGACTCGTGCTACAGCCATACATTTTGTGTATGTTATGTATGATGTGACTCGTGAGCAGTTTGTATGAGACTTTCACGAGTCAACGCTGGTTCGAGTCAGTCATAAGCCCCTCGGTTTCGTTTCATGGTAGAAAGAAACAGTGAAGAACAGTTCCGATGGCCAGATGATGAAAAGTTGGGAAATGGTTTGAGATATTTTTATAAACAATATATCACAAACATTCAAACCAATACCAACACATGGTGTGAAAAACGACTTGAGAATTTTTTTCGAATGCGTTGTTGGTATCGCAATCGATTCCACAATGGCTCAAGATTTGATAACATCGACATCAGAAATGCCAAAGAGTTTTCATATCGATTTAAGAATTTAACAAATGGTAATAATGGTAATAATGTGGATCCACAACGCGTTGAAAAATTCAATATTTTAATGAGAGATTTGACTGAAATTGGATGGTCGGGAACAGTGAGTATGAAATTTTTCGCAAAATATCGTTGGTTTGAATCACTGTGGTTGTTCGGTCAAATGCAACGGCAAATAGAAGTGTATCACAGTCATGCCGAACAATGGAATACCATTCATGAAATGTTTCGTAACAATCCGAACTTTCAAGAGCCAACAATCAATCGACCACCAAAAATAAGCAGTTTTGCTCTTATACCATTATGCGACTACCATTTGAAAAACGTGCGATTGGACATTAAGGACTTGTATTATAAAATTGTAAACGAGCTTGATTTGGTGCCTTCTTTTCTCAATACGCGGACCAACCGGATGAATAAGAGAAATTTAAAGTACTACACCCAAACTGATCGATCAGGTCTATGGAATATGTTGTTCGATGTCGGTAAAATAAATAAATTGGGCAAATCGAAACCATTCCATCATCAGATTTTGACCGATAGTGTTTCAATATCCATAATGTACAAGAAACCACAGCGACAACAATGACCACAGCGACAACAACGACCACAGCAAACAACCCAAGCGAATCGGGGGCCGGAAAAACTCATTGGCAAGAAATACATCATTGGAATCGATCCGAATGAAAAATCGTGGTTAACTGTAGTGCGTCGCAACATTCAAAAAACACCTGATGAGCCGGCTGTTGAGGTAAGATATTTTGAAATGTAATTTGAAATGGTTTTGAATAGAAACTCATAGTTTTTTATATCATTTTGCATTTTGAAGGAAAACATTATAATACCAAACCAGCGTTTTCATTGGGAAACTCAGCAGAAAAAACGAGACAAAGAAGCGAAAAAGTTGGCTGGATGGTTTGATATCGAAGAGAAGGAACATCTCAAAACCTACCCATATCGTCCACCATCACCACGTAATTCAACATGGAAATCATACATTGAATATCGCATTAAAATGTTACGAAAAGGAATGGCAGCTTATGCGACGCGTGAATATGCACGACTGGATTTAGACCATTACATTCGCTCGACCAGAGTAAATGATTAAATCGCCGTGTGTGTGACAAACAACAAACCGTCGTTGGTTCAATTTGGTGCTTGGGCGATGAAACCCGATCGACCGTTTGGAATAAAAAAGCGTAAAAGATGTCCGGGATCGCGTAAGTTTCGTGTGAGCATTAAGAAACTTGGACATTCAGAAGTTGAAATGCAAGATGAATGGGGAACATCACAAACATGCGCGAATTGTCAGGAACGTTTTCCAAGGCACACAAAAGATGATCGATTTAAAGTGTGCTACGATTGTAGAGCGAAAAAGATTGATGGCCTGCCAGATTCAGTCGCTGGACTGCCAGATATCATTGTGTCAACGGTCAACAGACGTGTTTTGAGAAGAAAACGTGCAATTATTAAGCGACAAATTATCGATGGCAATCGTGAGGCTGTGAACGAAAAACTTCGGACTGGGCGTTTAATGTCAAAGGTTAAAGTTACCTACAAAAATTGGCCATTAAATGTTGATGATGATGATGTTGTTCCACAAACAGTTACTTGGCACCGAGATATTGTTGCAGCAAAATGCATTATGCTCAAAGGTATGAATCAATTGGAAACAGAATATTCATTATTTAATGTATTTGCTTTAAATTACATAGGACTTTGCCGGATCTTTGATGTACCATTGCCAGTTTCATTGTTAAGACCGCCGGACTAAAACAACAATGTCAACTAACAAACATCATCAATTAATCATACATTCAAAAAATTACATAAAATAAAATATTTTAACTATTATAGTTAGCTTAGCTAGACATGAACAGACTATATAAAGTCTTGTGGTCTAGTTGTACAATAGTACAACATTGTACGGAGGGGGAGTGCCCGTAGATGAGTAAAGTTTTTAATTTAAAAAAAGTATTTTATACCCAGTTCAACTGATACTAATGGTTGTCTTTCCCTTTTTCCATGTTTTCACACCTGAATGTTCCACCATGCCAAACCTATGGAAATGACTGAAACTACACACGAATCTAACCCCGAAAACGACCGTCAATATGTGCTTCATAATGGATGCATTTGCCCTATCAATTGTTTGCTGGGAAATTAATTTGGATATTTTATAGAAGCTCTACTTAATAAATTTTCGTTAAAACGTTAAACGTTTTGTAAATCATCATGTAGAATTGTAGATTGAGAAATTCGGCGAATATAATTCATTTCAAAAATGTGTTTATTCTATTATTAAATACATATAGTTTTTTTTTAAATAAAAAATGTAATGTGTTTAGATTTTTGGAACTGGTTCCAAGCCCAAAATCCAGAAGAATTTTTCAAGCAATTGAGCTGTGCATTCAGCCAAAAGAACACGACTGGCATTGATTTGCACGATTTCGCCAGCTTTGTTCTTTTGAATACAGTAACATGAATCGTAGAATTCGCTGAAAGTGGTACAGATTTCATAAACATATTCGCACAAATAGTGCAAAGAAAGGTCTTTTAATAACCGATCAATGATATCAGGATACTTAATTAAAATATTTCCCAATTTTAACTCTTTTTCGTGCTCAAGTTTGATTCGATTTTTTCGGGCTACTTCCTTGATATTGTTTGCATAATCACAGCCACAGTTTCGTGCAATTGACTTAATACGAGCAAATGCATACAACAAATAGACAGCTGTATTGCCTTTGTCTTCAAGCATCTGAAAGTATTCAAAATATTTTAATAAATATATGGATATTTGTAATTAAATAAAAATGTATGAATTACTCACACGATCGAATGAGAATAGATATTCGTTGATGCGATTATGAGATAAGTCAGCATATTTAATACATCCATAAGCAATGGATTCTTGGGCTTGTTTTAATTCTTCTGGTGTCATGACTTTTTCACGTTCTTTCTCTTTCAGCTTATCCATTGCACGAGATAAACCTTACAAACAATAAAAAATTAATTACAATAAATAATTAAAAAAAATAATTAAATTCGACAAACCTTCGTCGAGCAAATCAGACAATCGAACGGTATCACCTGAGCGCGTTTTGAATTTTTTTCCATCTTCGCCGAGAACGACGCCAAAACCGACATGATCAATGCGATGTAAACCGGGATTAGTAATTCCCAATCGCTCTGCGCATTGGAAAAATGTTTTGAAATGTGCAGCTTGTCCAGAATCTACCTAAGGGGAGAATCACAAAAGAAAAGAATACAATTAATTTAAAATAATCGAAAAAGAATCAATAATAATTAATAAATAACAGAATCTACCACATAAATAACCCAATCGGCTTTTTCTTCTTCAATTCGCTGTTTGATTGTTGCCAAATCTGAGGTATCGTATGTAAAACCACCATCGCTTTTAACTAAAGTCAAAGGTATGTCGTTTTCATTATGATCAACAAGTCCCCACATAATTTTGCGACCTTCATCTTCCTCCATCAAACCAGATGCTTCTAATTCTTTGACAATTTTTTCCATTCGCGATTGATAGAATGATTCGCCACGTTCGATCAATGTTACATTTAAACGGTCATATAACTTTTGATTTGATTTGCGGGATACGTCGGTGATCAATGACCATGCTTTGACTGTAATTGCATCACCATTCTGCAGTTTTACCTAAGGGGAGAATCACAAAAGAAAAGAATAAAATTTAAAATAATCGATAAGTAATCGGAAACTAATCGAAAAATAATCGTAAAACAATCAATAATAATTAAAAAGTAATTTTGAAGTGATTTGCCCCTTAGTTTTACCACTGCATTGTATGCCCGTTTTTTGAATTCTTCGTCTGAATCAAAACGTGCTTTCGATTCTTTGTAGAATGCTTGAAGATCAGATATTGGTGGCGAAACTTGAGAGAAGTTTGGAAATTTGTCTTCAAGATGTGCGATCAACATGCCAAACTGTGTACCTAAGGGGAGAATCACAAAAGAAAAGAATTAATTTGAAATAATCGAAATAATCGAAAATAATCGCAATAATCGGAAAAGAATCAATAACAATTATTAAATAATAGAAAGGTAATTTTTAAGTGAATTGCCCTAGTGTTTACCCCAATCACCAACGTGATTCAGGCGTAAAACATCATGACCGATAAATTCCAACAATCGGCAAATCGATTCCCCAATAATTGTTGAACGTAAGTGGCCGACATGCATTTCCTTGGCTGAAAAATAAAAAACAACCAAAGAAAATTTGTAATAAGATACAACAAGTGGAAAAAAGACATACACATGTGACCGCTTACCAATATTTGGCGATGAAAAATCAACGACAACTTTCTTCAATGGATATTTTGGTGGCTTAATACCATTCAATAAGATCGATGAAAGTAGTTTTTCTGGATACGTTTTGCTCAGAAAAATATTGATGAAGCCGGGACCATTGGCATTCATTTGCCCAATGATTGGTGTGACCGGGAGATTTTCTAACATTTTCAATGCAATATCTCGTGGTGAAGGTGGTTTGCTTCCTTTGGCTACATAAATAGGTTTCAATAAGCCAGCCAATGGCATAGCTGAATTGCATTGATAATCATTGAATCTTGCATTAGTGCCTAGGGTTAATCACAAAGAAAAGAATGGAAATTATGGAAATTAATCAATATGTAATGGAACGTAATGTAAGTAATGGAAACATATAATGAAAATCAAATATGTATAGTTTAAGAGCAAAGTAATCGTCACACATTTGCAACAACATTGCTTAAATTTGAGATTTGGTAGTAGTGTTGAGAATCGCGTTCTGTTGTGGAAGAACAGAACTACAACTACTACCAAATCTCAATTTTTGTCAGAAAAGTGTTTGCTAACGCAGCTTCGTTCAATTCATTTGCAAATTGTTTTTAATTCATGTGTGTATATGTGTGATCAAACCCTTACTACTTTCTTACATACTAAATAGATTTTGATATTGTGATTTTTTGAAATGGATGTAATGGATGTAATGGAAAAATAATCGAAAGAATGGATAGCATTCTTCAATAATGGAATAGTCATTTTTAAAGTAAGTTTAATACTCATGACAACAATGGCTTTTGGTGGATTTGGTAGCTCAGGAAAAGCAGCGGCAATTGCCACACTGAAAATTTGTGTTAAATGATGGACGACTGAAATGGGCGAATCAATGTTATCCAAATCAACTGGTTTCAACGATTTTTGGCGTTCGTTTGAAATGGCCTATAAAAATGATATGATAGTTAAATATGTTGAAGCCGGTAAATAATTGTTTATTGTTCTTGTATAATACTCACCTTATTCAAAACAGCCAATCGATGCTGGAGTTTCTTATTTTCAACGATGAGTTCATTTAATTCATCATCATCTACTGATTCAATATTTTCATTTGATAGTGCTTGGATATTTTGTTCAAGAGTTTGAATGCCTTGTTCCTTCGCAGTAGAGAATGTTTATATTAAATATGGTTAGAATTTGGCTAGCAAATTTATGGTATTTCTTTAAAATTTATCTTACCAATTTGGCGACATTTTGCCATTCTTTTTCGATAGAATCGCTCATTGTGTATCGAAATTGTTACGAAAACTACAGAAAATGTAAATGAATCGGCAGCAAGTGATTTTTAATTTCACAAAATCGGAATGAAACGTGTTCAAAATAGCAGCAGACATATATGAGAAATGTAAAATGTGAATTCCAGTAAACATGCGACAATTCGTCGAATTTTTGTTAGCCCGAACTGTCAATAAAATATTAGCAGCGTTTTCATTTGACTTTGATTATTACATAAGAAACAGTAGGTTATTCGAAGCAATCGACATCACTATTTGTGAAGTTTTCCATTTTCGACCTTAAAAAAAATCTATTTTCAAGACCAAGAAAGTCTTAAAATAAATCTTTCATTTTCAAAACAATCAGAGATAAAAAATACATCGAAAAAAATGAGTTTCTTCTCGAGAGGTTTGGGACGCGCTTCCACATATGCCCTTGGAATTGTCGTCGCTGCTTTTGTCATCGACCGAACCAATGAAATTGTTTCTGATGCTGTATGGAAAAGCGCTAACAAAGGCGTAAGTACTCACTCATCCATTTTACACAAAAAAAAACTTTCAAAACTCATACATTAAGACACTTTTATTAATTCCAAATGATTTCCTTTATTTATTCTCGTGTTATACAAATTGGATGCGTTTTTCGATCGAGAACAGTTGACCTTTGAAGAAATTAAAGATAGATTCAGTGAATAAACGATACGTCATCGCCGTCACCACATGATTCAATTGCGAAGATTTGTGGATATTTGCTTAAATAGATAATGTTTTAGTAGTAAAGTTCAAAATAAAACATCTTCAAATACCAATAAAACATGTATTTTCAATTTTTATTGATGTCTTTATAAAAACTATAATTTACTCAAATTAAATTCCATTTATTCATTTTGTATCATCCATGGCTTGTCCATACGGAAGGTGTATGCAGCATAATGTTTCTTATACTGCGGTGATTCGCTCAACTTGAGACCATTATTTTCCAGCTCTTTAATAAATCGACCCAATTTACTGCCTTCGGGAGCTTCATTGTAGTTTGCTACTTCAATAATACCAGCCTCAAGACAACGTCGGGCAAATATCTGGAATGTATAAAAATTACGCGTTCAGATTGCGGCAAGCAATTTTTAATTGACTGGAAAAGCTATTTTACTTACACGACCAAAATTGACATACGCTGCCATATCGTATGGACGATAGAGATGTTTTGACAATGACCACTCTTCTGTACTGGATTCAAGTACGGTTCTACCTGTGTAATGCTGAACACTCGCCGTCAAACCTTTTGTTGTCTTCTCCAGAACTAATCTATGATTGATTTATAAATTGAAATTGTTATATTTTATGTTGGATACGTTTCGCAGCATATGTTACTTACTTATTCCAAAAGCATCTTCCAGGCATATCCAACAAATAACCGTCTGGGCGTTGGGCAATTTTCATCATTTCTAAATTACGTGGATTGCGATTCTGCATATAAATAGCATTTTCTGCTGGTTTTCTACATTCCATAAGCATTTTATAGAGTTTGCAATTGGGCACCTTTTTCTTAATCATTTTTACTGAAAATTGTTTATTGTACTCCACAAATCGAAAGGAAAACTATAAACTTTAGGTAATTGCTGAATATTACAAAAAATGAGGTTACGTTGAGTTTTTATTCATTGTCAAATGTCAAATATTCCCATTTGGGCTACAGTTCGGGTAAACATTTGTTCATTTTTGCAATGAACAAATGTATACATACAATATAATTCATAAATGTATACATACAATTTGAAATAGAGACGAAATTCAAAATATTGGTGAAAATATCTTCCATTAATTTCAAATACAAATTATAAAGGATAAAATTTATAAAGGGTAAATATTCATATTTTCTCTCTTCCGCATTCGTTGACGTTGAGTGGTTTCCAGAAGCAGGTAAATGGCTCTTGCACTCTACATTGTTTATAATAAATAACAAACATAGTAATTCGTGTTAATAATCCTTCATTGAAAGCACATCATGTAGCCAACAGTTGGTTCAAGTATGTTAGGAGTGGCAATATGTTAAATGAAAATTGTTGACTCAGATGGTACGGCGACGGCGCGGTACTTTTCTGTGATGCTTGTACATTGCTTGTTCATGTCAACGCTGATTTACAGGGTGGGCCAGAATAACTGCAATTTTTTTTCGCACCTATGTAGATACTACTATAATAACTTTCCAGTCACTCTTTTGTTTACCGTTATGTTTATTCATGTTTTGGTTATCCACTGTGATGATGCACATTATTGCGCAGTTCTTGTTTACTTTGCTACAATAATGGATGTGAAACGTCAACTCGTTTTGAATTTGCATAAAAAAGGTTTGCGACAAATTGATATTTTTCGGAAGCTTCAGATCGACAATATCAGTTTGAATTTTATTCATCGCACCATAAAACGATACAAGGAGCGTGGAACTGTCGATGTGAAGCGAAAAACGGGCAGAAAAAGATCTGTACGAACAAAAGGTCTGGTCCAAAAGGTACGAAAGAAAATTCTTCGAAATAACAAAAGAAGCGCCAGAATATTAGCTCGTGAGCACAATATCAGTCGATCTTCAATGCGACGAGTGTTGAGAGAAGATTTGGGAATGAAACCATTCAAAAAAACCCGAAAACATGGTTTGACAAAAAAAAAATAAGCAAGATAGAAAGCGAAAATGCAAAGAGCTGCTAAGCCGGGCCGCAACCTCAAACATCGTTTTCTCCGACGAGAAGTTGTTCCTTTTGCAGTCAAGTCTCAATGCGCAAAATGATCGTGTTTACGCAGCGACAATTGAGGACATTCCTGAAGATGATTTAGTCGTTGAACGATATCAAAATGTGTCAAGTGTCATGGTTTGGGGCGCCGTTTCGGCCGACCACAAATTTCCCCTTGTTTTCGTTGAAAGTGGCGTTAAAATCAATGCAGCTGTGTATGAAGAAGAAATATTGCGCAAAAAATTGTTGCCACACGCCAAAAAAGTGTTTGGTAATGAACCATGGGTGTTTCAACAAGATGGGGCACCGTCACATCGAGCAAACAGAGTGCAACAGTGGTTAAAGGAAAATGTGCCTGATTTTATTGATAAAGACGAATGGCCGCCATCGTCTCCAGACTTGAATCCATTGGATTATTTTGTGTGGGGCTACATGCAATCAAAGTTAAATGATCTGAAGATTACGAAAACCACAAAATTGGATGCATTTAAAAAGAAAATCGTCAAGATTTGGAACGATATTCCCATCGAAATGGTGCGGTCCGCGTGTAAATCGTTTTTACGACGTTTGCGTTTGGTGATCCGTGCAAACGGAGGAAGAATCAAAACCAAAACATGAATTTAAAATTTTGGACCCTATTCTAAATCCCAATAAAGTTTTCATTCAATTTTAGTAAAAAACAATACTTTTTCTGAGCACATATAAAAATTGCAGTTATTCTGGCCCACCCTGTAAATAAAAAAACTACTCGATCTGTACTCACATTAATTCAACAACCATTATAAGTCCAGTTTTACTGGAAAGTCCAAAAATAAAAATTTAAATGGAGAATGTTGCGAAGTATAAAATAAAAAATCTTAAAATTGTTCTCATGTCAGTCGTTTATCTTTTTACAGATTTCATGAAAAAACCAGAACACATTTTTCCTAGTCCAACTAAAGACAGCTAATGCATGATGAGAATTGTTTCAATTGGCTCCATTTACATCGTGAAGTAAATACACATTCAATGCCGTGTGTTGTGAGTGTCGGTGGGGTAATTTAAAAGCCAGAAACATGGACTCTCACGGGTGTTTGTTGAAAAAGGGACATAAAATTTGTACGTGAATGTATAGATATAATGTGTATGTGTGTGTATGTGTGTCGAGTCGAGTGTTGCGCTTTGTGTTTGGCACCTGGTAGAAACAAGTTAAGCGATGAAAAGCTTCAGAACGTCGATATACACAGCAACGACGACATCGAAATATTTAAGTCTTGTACACTCTTTGGCAACGAATTATCCTCCCGACAAAAGCAGAATTTTTCAAGTGTGTGGTTACCATTGACAGCGTAATTTGTGTTTTTTTTCGTTCAACATTTATTTCAGTTCGTTTTGCGCAATTTTTTCACGAAAGGAAAAAAACAGAACGAGTCACGTTTATAATTTCTAAAAAATAGCATAAATGTGTTTCAATATCGATTGTTGTAGAAGCGTGTCCCCTTTTACAGTACAAAATTACGACTTATCAAGCAAACATCAGCGAGGAATCAAACGTAATTAAGGAAGGAATGCAATAGACACAAGAAAAAAGTTATTTTTGAAAATAAAAACGACTTTTCAGAAATATTAAATCGGTTGTCGATAACGAAATTACATTTATTTGATCGCAAACAAGAGGAAAGAACAAAAAAATAAAAGCAAAACAATCAATCCCTGTGTAAATTCGATTACACTGTAGAATACACGAAAAAGAAAATCAATTAAAGTGTATTACACGAGAGTGTAGTAGAGAGAGAGAATAAAAGGAAAAAACACAGCGAAACAGACATGTCGAAATTAATTTGGTACCTTTTTTTTGTGTCGTTGCCATTTTCTGTGTTTGGAATCGATTTAAGTAGACTATACGGACATTTGAGACCGGTTCAAAAGCGTAGTGGTAAGTTGTAACCAAAAATTTCTATGAAATATTATCACTTGTATACTTGTGTTTTATAAAATATCTTTGAATCTCTCGATGGAAAAAAATAAAGTGAACTGTTGGATTTTACAAGTAAAATATTACACAGAATATTCCACAGAAAGCAAAAGAAATGGGAGAGAGTTCATAACAATATATACATGAATAAATAAAATGTTAGGGAAGGTTTATGGTATATATCAGCAACGACATAACAAAAAAAAATGGATACAATGTACGAATGCGTTAAAATGGTTTTTTTTTGTTGTAACACATCCTTTGCGTTGCATAAATGATTCGGAACATTTATCATGAGTTATAAAATACTATACAGCAGTTATGTTGTGTTGCGTCAAAGTCTTTTTATTAATTTTCCCGTTATGTCAAGCGAATACACGAAGAATGTTCTCACTGAACAAGTATTTTTGCTAAATTCAGTTGAAGTGTTAAACTTTTATAATTAAATCATTTCGACGCCACAATAAATGCGAGTTGACATTTTTGTACATTTTACTGAAATACACTCGTGAGATACTTATATATTGACAATGAGTTATTTTTAAAGTGGTCGTTATGTGCAAATCTCACTTAGAGATTACCAATTTTTATTCATGTTCTCCAATTTCAACCAACCATTAAGTCATGTTGAAATGTAGATATGATTTAAGTACTACGTGTGTCATACAATATACATACACATTCAAACATCATCTTGACCTCACACCGTTAAAATCTATCATTGAATATATTTATTATATACTATTATATTATGTGCAACAAATCGTTATTTGTTGCATGTCTCATGAGAATTGTACAGAAGCATTTGGACGCCATCCAAAAATACAAATTTGCAAAATACAAAAATAAAAATTCTGTGTTTGTCGATAACTCATTTGCGCTTTTTCAGCATCAAAGAGAACAACATATAGTATTAGAGTTAAAAATAAGTGAAATCAAAGACAATAGTCCAATATTTCCAAAATAAGCGAATTCAATTATCTACGGAATAAAGTCAATGACAACAAATCACTCGCAGGTATAAATGATATCTTATCTGTGCATCTTTCTTCGTATGTTGGTGTTTTGTGAATGCTATTGATTGCATATGCAAGAAATTTGGTAGGATATAATTTCATGGTTTTATCCTTGACCACCCAACAGGGGTATAGTTGACAGTAGTTGAATAAGTATTTTCTGCTCGAAAGTAAGGTAAATTTTGCGCACATCAAATTCAATTATATGCAGGTTTCAATTTTACTTTGAAATTCAATCCATTTACTTTACTATTTCATATTGTATGAATTATACGCCGACACATTTTCCCCCCATTAAATGTGAAAAGATAATGAAGGGAAACGTTGAAATCTAATTCAATTTACCTGTTCAAATAGTGTCTTGACGTAAATCACTTGCCTAGTTCAATATTTAATCGCTTTTTTGGGGCAGAACAAATTCACGTTCTGTGGTTATATTTTGTCTGAATTTAATATACTCCAGAGATCTGTACAAGATTTCAATCATCTTACATGCAAAAATGTAATATTCATTCATCCGATTTTATGTAAGAGATGATACTCTTAGTTTTATTAGACAATATTTTTGCATGTCATTTTCATTGCGTTGATGACTGAGAAGAAATGATAGACACATATTCCATTTATAATCATAATAACGTTTGCTTTTTATGACGATAATAAAAGCTCTATAGAATCACGGTCGTTTTAATGAAAAGCTTTTATTGTCTATTTTGTTGAAGAGAGAGAGAGAGAGAGAGAGAGAGAGAGCAAGAGAACAAAAGAACATGACAAACATTTGGTAGTTGCTGAGCCTACCCTTAGTCATGTAGTGCGCATGTCAAAAATTTGTTGATTTGAATATTTTCACTATTGTTGAACAGCTTCTGGATGAAAATCAATCGGGATTCCGCCCTATGCGGGGTTGTCAAGACCAAATTTTTGTCTTGAGACCAGCTGCTAGAGAAATTCCATGAGAAAAATAAGGATTCGTTTTTGTGTTTCGTTGATTTGCAGAAGGCTTATGATTGTATTCCAAGATCTAAGTTGTGGTCGGTTTTAGCCGAATATGGAATAAATGGGTCTCTTCTTAGGGCAATTAAAAGTTTGTACGCAAACAGTAAAGCATCAGTTAGAGTGGATGGTGATTTGAGCGAATGGTTTGAGGTGCGTAATGGTCTTAGACAGGGCTGTACAATTCCACCGATTCTGTTTATTATTTATATGGATAAGCTGATAAAATCAGAAAATCTAAGGGGAAACGTAGCTTTGGGAGGTAATGTAATCTCTGCTTTAGCATATGCAGATGATCTGGTACTATTCGGTAGTTCTGAACAGGAGCTGCAGAATAGTATTAGAGATTTACAAGCGGCCTGTACAGACTTTGGAATGACAATTAGCAGTTCGAAAACTCAGGTTATGCATGTGGTTAAAACTCGAAAAACTGTTCAATGCGAATTGAATGGAAACTAGCTTAAACAAGTGTCACAATTCAAGTATTTGGGTTGCATCTTCTCTGAATATGGCAAGTTTGATAAAGAGTTTGAACACCGTAGAATGAATGGAAATAAGGTAGTAGCGCAACTTAGATCACACGTTTTCAATAAGCGTGAGTTGAGTAAGGAGACGAAATTGATGATTCATCAGTCAATCTTCAGACCAACTATCCTTTACGGAAGCGAGAGCTGGGTCGATTCTCAAAATTTAATTCATGGATTGGAAGTGGCTGATATGAAAGTTTTGCGAATGATTTCTGGAGTATCGCGTAAGAATCAATGGAAAAATCGTATCAGAAATGAATGAATTCGAGATGATTTGAATGTTAAGTCGGTTGATGATGTAGCAAGAAAGTCGAGATTGAGATGGTTTGGTCATGTCCAACGTATGAATGAGTCTCGTTTGCCAAAGAAGATTTTGTATGCTGATGCAGATGGACCGAGAAATAGGGGAAGACCTCGTAGACGTTATTTGGATTCGGTCAAATGTGATTTGGATGTTAAAGGGTATGATTGGTGTAGAGAAACTCAAGACCTGGCTCTCGATAGGGAAGTTTGGAGAGGAATTGTTAGAGGAATTTGAGTCTATTCGTTTCGTAAAAGACCACACACCGAAAGGTACAATCGGTCTATAAATGATTGTTGTTGTTGTTGTGGTTGTTGAATATTTTCATGAGATTTTGTGTTTGTTTTAAATTATTGATAATAATTAAAAGAATTTTTGATTTGGTCATTTTTAGACGCATGTCATCCATATGAACCATTTAGGTGTCCAGGCGATGGCCATTGCATATCAATTCAATATCTTTGTGACGGAGCTCCCGGTGAGAACATGTTAATTTTCACGAATTTAAATTACAATATAAAATAAAATACTTTTCAACAAAACTAACATTTCCTTCTTTTATCTCTAGATTGTGACGATGGGTAATGTTTTTTAATTTTTAGACTTTGATGTCAAAACTAACAAAATGCTCATTTTTTCTACATCAATGAATTATAGGTATGATGAAAATCCTAAACTATGCACAGCTGGTATGTTATTTGCAATAGGGTTACATAAAAAATATTATTTTAAAATTATTTCTTTTATAATTGTCCAGCTAAACGTCCACCTGTTGAAGAGACAGCTTCATTTCTACAAAGCTTACTAGCATCGCATGGACCAAATTATTTGGAAAAATTATTTGGTAGCAAAGCCCGTGATGCGCTCCAACCTTTGGGTGGTGTGGAAAAAGTTGCCATAGCTCTCAGTGAATCGCAAACAATCGAAGATTTTGGTGCTGCACTCCATCTAATGAGGTTTTTGAACATTGGACATAATAATTCAACTTTATTTTCTATTGAGTCGATATATTTCCCTTTTTCAACAGATCTGATTTGGAACATTTGCGTTCAGTATTCATGGCAGTAGAAAATGGTGATATCGGCATGTTGAAATCATTAGGCATAAAAGACTCTGAATTAGGCGATGTGAAATTTTTCCTTGAAAAATTGGTTAATACCGGATTTTTGGACTGAGTAGCACCGGAAAAAGCATCTCCTTTCTATTATTCTGTTCGCATTAATCCACAATTTTACTCATACCTTGAAACATCTATAGATGGTTACAATTTTTAAGCAAACAATTGTGTTTTATTGAAACTTGATACAACGATTAAAACAAAAACCAAAAAAAAAAACTGGAACAATAGAAAAATGACTAAAATTGTGGATTGACGAATGAAGTGCTCAATCAATTAATCTGTAAAATGATCGCTATTTGTTTAATTTCCAAAAGAGACAGAGAAAGAGAAAAAAAATCTATACATATCATGAATGCAGCTATGCTACATATTTTTATATAAGATTTTTGGTCAGTTAAGATAAAATTAAAAACTGATTTCATTTCTTTTTTGGTGAAATTTTTCAATTACTATTTCTACTACACTACTTTAAATAGCGATATTTTGCAATTATACACACACACAGGGGAAATTCAAATTGATATGAAGTACCTAAATAATAGAAAGTGTTCCAGTGCATTGTTGTCCCAAAACTAGTACACATTCTATTATTAATCCTATCCCAATATGGTTTTGATCTTCGGTTAAAAATAAAAACATGCTACGATTTTCCTGTGTGCACAAAGGGAAAATCTAGTATTCTTTTGTACCAAAAATCGAACTGTGAGAAAATCCGAACCACTATACAGAAATGTCAGAAATTTACGAAATTTTAGTATTTTATTTTTGATAATAAGCGCTAATATACAGCAATTAGCGCTAATATACAGCAATTAGCACTAATACTGGAACACTTTTGCTATTTATGTATTGATAACACTGTGCGTCACTCAAAATGTGACAGAAACGAGACCAGCCGGTTTTGGATAATTTGGGTATGCTGATTTCAATGGCATCGCCCATTTTTCTCTAACACGTCAGGATTTTCCACAATTTTCCTAGAGAGTTTTTCGGAAAACCAAAATTGGCTGTTTATACCCTAGTAACATTTTGAATTCATGCAATATTCTAGAGGGGTGACCTATCAGGCGTTGTAGTACGGTTCAAGTATAGTTAAGCCACACAATTCGTTTTAAAAAAAATTGATTTGGCTATTCCCCTCTGAAGTAAAATTGGTATCCATTCAAACGCTCTGAAAAATGAGTATTTGGGGCAAGATTTGGGGGTTTTTTGGCATGAAAAGACCGAATCTGACGTTTTTTCTGCTATAAAATTAGGTACACTAAATTGAATACACTTACCACACGTTGACATTTTTGGTCATTTTTGGTTATTTTTGATTATTTTGGATACTTTTTGTGTCGTAAGTGTATTCAAACCCAATTTTATAGCAAAAACAGCGTCATATTCGGTCTTTTCATGCCCAATACTCATTTTCAGAGCGTTTGAATGGATAACGATTTTACTTCAAAATGTGACTTCAGAGGGGCATTTTTTTTAAACGAATTGTCTGGCTCAACTATACTTGAACCGTACTACAACGCCTGATAGGTCAGCACTCTGGGATATTGCATGAATTCAAAATGTTACTAGAGTATAAACAGCCAATTTTGGTTTTCCGGAAAACTCTCTAGGGAAATTGTGGAAAACCCTGATGTGTTAGAGAAAAACGAGTGATGCCATTGAAATCAGCATACCCAAATTATGTAAAACCGGCTGGTCCCGTTTCTGTCACATTTTTAAAGTTAAAAAATGACACACAGTATAATATTTTGAACTCTGCTATAATTCAATTTGGGTATAAAAGATGTCCCCGTATAGACAACACTGACAAATTATATCAACAACAGAAAAATGTTCCAAGTCTCATCCAAACTGAAAGAGTACATTTTGAGTTTGAAACGTAGTGCAGTTGTTTTCTCTGAACAAAATCCATCAACGACAACTGTCATGAAATTTACGAAACCGAAATTGGATTTTCATTCAATTTTTTTGTGTAATGTTCAAAACTACATGAATAATTTATTCAAAATAACGACGGGAACCTTTTGGTATTTTCACGATATTTTTTAGATCGGACACTTCAACTCTAATAAAATATGTGAATATTCCTTATCATATACATCATCACATTTATGGTGCAAAATTGAGACAAGCATTGATAACCGCCCAATTTATTTTTTCTCGCTTTAATTTTTAAGAAACATACATTACCGTTTTTAACAATTTCATATATTTATGATTATAATTTAAATTTATTCTTATGTGTGGTGCTTTCAATATATTTTTGAACAATATTTTCTTCATATTTGCAATGGAAATACATAAGTGTAATTAAAACACACACACACACACAATGATAATTGATTTGTTTTTGCACTGTAAATGAGTGGTGTTTACACGTGCTTACTTTCAATGGTACAAACGATCTTACAAAAAAAAAAAACAAACAAACAAAACATAAGACAATGGCATGCAAATTCTCGAAAAATTGCTGCGATTGAAAACGAGAGCGGTGGTGATGATATTGTTTTGATGTAAAACTCACAATGATGAAATGAAAGCTTATTATATATTTTAAATGAAACTGAAACATATCAAATGATTTTATTTAATAAATCTTTAAAAAAAAATTCTATATACAAAGAACAAAAAGCAACTACTTTACCAAAATATATATTAATATAACATTAAGTTTTAAATTTATTTAATAAAATCAAATTCATAAAAATACATTTTTTCTGAAGTTTTTCGTTTATCAAATTTGCTAAAGATTGGAAATATAACAGTGACAGATTTATCGACATTGAGAGAAGAGAAAGAATGAAATCAAAAGAGGGAAAGAGAGAGAGAGAAAAGAAAACAAGAGAGAATACATTTAAAAATCTGACATATTTATTGCACTGCCGATTTAATTTGAACGAATTTTCCACCGGTACCATACAACTATACAGTATACATGTAAAGATAACAAAATAAAATATTTCACTTTATATTCTCAACTCGATAAAAGAAAAAAAACTTCCTATTTTTGCTCTTTGCAACTTTGTTGCATAAAACGTATGCGCTTCATCTTACATCATTAAGACGTCGTTGAATCACCGAGAAACTATAAACAAACTATGTTTCATTGAACATCAAGAAAGAGATAGAGAGAAAACATCGTTTTTCACTAACATCTTTCGACATTGTTTTCTGTGATACGCTCACAACAACGAGAAAACTTCTTCGTTTTTTGCGAGAACGTGGCAATGCGTTGATGGTAGCAGTCTATTATAGTGCAAATATTCATTGCATTTTGGAAATTCTGACATTTTTTTCTCTCGTATCCTGTTACAATTTGCCATAACGAATTCAATTGTTAAAAGTTTGACAATCGGAATCGCTAAACCCATTTCGAAACAGCAACTGTTACACAATCAATTCACCAATTTTTAAGCAAAATTGAATAAATTCGCTTGACATACATATCATTGTTATTTTGATGCCTGAATAGGTATGGCAAATGGATATATCGGAGGACAATGTAATCTTACGCAAAATGAATCTAATTCAAAGTCAGAGGAAAAGTATTGCCATTCAATCTTTAGTTTCTCTTTGAGGCATAATCGAAATAGAAGCAAAGTGTCGAATAAGCGGTTAAAAAGCACTTCCAACACATAGCGTAAAATTGTATTCACAGTAAGTTGGAGAGAAAAAGAAAAAGCTATAATTAATGAACTTTGCAATCGAACGAAATGGTGCGGAAAACGGTAGTAGAAAGAAATCGAAACTGATAAAAAGAGTGTTAGACCTCTATTTTTCATTCCGTGTTTCCTTCGTAACCCAGCAAACAAATTTGTAGTGTTTTTGGTACATTCTAACGTTGAAAAATGTAACGTTTTGACCCATTCTGATGGTCATTTTCGTGTCAAATGGAACGGAGATTATATGCATAGTTTCCATGAATTCCAATGGAATGGATTCACTTGTTTCTTTCACTTCCAATAATATTTCGTTTGACAGCATAATGTGAACAGAACCCAACACATTAAGTTTTGAATTGCAAATCTAACGATTCATTTGTTTATTCACGCTCAAATAAAAAATAAACAATTAATTTGAGAAGAGATTTGCGTAATTTGATTTAAAACTCTGCAGAAGACCTTTTTTTACACATTATTGCATTTATTTTTCTTTGCTTCAAGTGTTGAAATAGAATTTTGAATTTTCGAAATGCAACCGAATCCTTCTGACATTTTTCGGTTGACGCACACTTATACGAACGATATTTGTATATATTAAATATGTGCTCTGCATTCAAAGCGTTCGCATCGTGTGACAGTATTTTTAGTATAAACAAATGCTTTCATATGATTTTGATCATCGTTCTGTTTTACATTCTCAATTCTAAAGTGACGCAGCGAAATATTTGAATTTCGTTGTCAATATTGGAAGTATTTAACCACATTGTACAATCGAATCAGTCTACAAGTTGCATTTGATCAAGTAAGAACGAAATACATTTACAATTAATTTTCAAGTATTTTTCTTCGATTTGTTTCAAATTTTAGTTCGTTGACACGAAATGTTTAAGAGAAAAAGGAAGGCTGAGAACGATTTGAATGATGGCGTTGATGACGACAAAGATAAAGGAATCCGTGCCATCAAATTGTCGCTCAACACAATCTTATTGCCAAAATATGAAGAATACATGACACATTTATTTTACGCCCGAAGTTTTGTGATGACGGAAATTTCATCGTTGGCATCACTATTGCTGCTGTTCTTAGTCAATGTCGCACTCGACGAACGTAATTATAATTTTTTCACGCAAGACGGCTTCAAAGTGACACCTGATTGTTTCGAATCTGTTCTGATGGACAATGTCGGTAAATTGCCAGCAGGATTTCGTCTTTTAGTAGAGAAATCAATCGGTATTCATCCATATCAATGGCCCGATAAAACCATTGTCGGAAATGGCTTCACCTATTTTGTTAACGATTACATCACAAGTGTAAAAAATAATCTCAAAACGCACTGTGAAAAGAGATTAATCTATTTCTTCCGCATAAAATGCTGGCGCATCAATCGTCAAGGTCACATGCCATTCGTATTTGATGATATCGACATACGAAACACAGTGAAATATCTAATGAACAGCATCAATCTAGCAAATGGCAACCAACAACGAGAAGAAAAAGTGCGCAAATTATTGGAGTTTATTCGCGAAATCGGATGGCCAGAAAATAAAAACATGAAATGGTTTGTGAAACACCGTTGGTTTGAATCATTGTGGTTGTTCGGCCACATTCAACGTGAAGTAGAGCAATTCTTTGTTGACGCACAACAACAGCGTGTATTCATCGAACGTATCAACAATCTTCGAGAGAAACAAAACAAAGAAAAGATCGATATGATTGAACCACCAGAAGTGGACAATTTTACAGTTGTCCCGTTATGTCGATTCCAGCTGAAAAGTGTTCGTTTGGATGAAAGAGATGCATACCGATTGTTGGCAAACAAATTGGGTCTTGTTCCATCTTTTTTCAATCCGAAAACGAAACGATGGAATAAACGCACCGAACAATATTACAAAGATCGCAAGGATGAATTATAGCGACTGTTGTTCAATATGGATAAAATACATCAATTGGCCAAACAACAGAAGAAATTCCATTTTCAAATCGTCACCAATAGTGTATCGGTATCATTATTGTACAAGAAAGAACAGAGTACGTGCAATGAACAGCAACCGAATTGTGATGCAGCCGATGTGGCCAAAGCAGTTGATGCGGCTGACCATAAGGCATTATTATCGAACGAAAAGAAGTATGTAATTGGTATCGATCCAAATGACAAGACATGGATTGCTGCTGTACGTCTTGATATTGTGACCGGCGTTGAAGTGAGTATAAATTTTAAAATGTATTTTTTTCGTAATCGTAGCTCATTATTTTGTATACAATCATAGGAAAACATCAAGATTTCTCACAAACGATTTCATTGGGGTACCGAGCACAAAAAGCGAAAGAAAAAGGCCGAAGCGTTGACTCAATGGTTTGTGGAAGTTGAACAAAAGCATCGAGAATCATTGATCAACTTTCCAATGGGCATTTCATCACCGCGTACCAGTCAATGGCGAGCATATATTCAACATCGCATCGCACTGCTGCGAAATGGAATGGCTGCATATGCAACTCCCGAATATGCACGTCTCGATTTGGATCACTACATTAAATCGACAAAAGAATGTGATACCATCGCCAAGAATATCACAAGGAATGAGCCATCAACGGTATTCATGGGTAATGCGGATCTCAAACCAAATCGGCCAATCGGAATCAAGAATGGCATTCGATGCCCAGGAATGCGGAAATTGGCTGCAAGCATAAAAAAACTTGGCCATTCAAATGTGAGATTCGAAGACGAATGGGGATCATCACAAACTTGCCCACTTTGTCAACGACGATTCAAAGTGTGTCTAAATTTTAAACCGAATCCGCTTGTATTATTGCCACCAATAATCGTGACCACGCGTAGCAAACGTGAGCTGCATATGCTTCGAGAAGGCATGGGATTGTTTCTGAATCTCCATTATCTGAGTACAGCTGAACCAACATTTAGTGTCAAATATAAAAATTATCTACAAAACTTGGTCACTAAATGTTCCGCATAATAATTTACGGGAGGCTGATCCAGAAGATATAATAACACGCACAGTTGTTTTTCATCGAGACATTCTTGCAGCAAAGAATATTATATTCATTGGTATGTATTTGTATATGATCATTATGAATGATTCATCGATCAATTGACAATAGAATTTGTTCATTGTTTACATTTTTTTGTTTTCGATTACTCAGAACTTTGTCGACTTCTTGGCAGCCGATTTGGATTCGAGTTGCCAGCTTCATTGAAAAGGCCGCGTAGCAATCATCAGCGCAATCCACGAAATCATGATATTCTGAACGTCGCCAACTTGCTGTTACCAGCCTAAAATCCACATTCAAAGAAATTTAAAAATATAACAATTTGTTACTCTACTAGATAAAGCTAGTAGTGCTGGGCTTGACCATTAGTGTGTGGCCCTGCAACAGTACGGAGGGGAGGAGCCCGTAGGTGAGTAAAGCTTTTAATAAAAAAAAGATATCACGGGGGACGGCAGTCCCCCAAGTGACGCAATACCAACATACATATGAAATATATGTATATTTGCGTCACTCTATATATACTGTAAGGAAATGAAAATCGATACCGCTGACTTTTGGAAAGGGTTTTTTGCATATTTTAGTAGTGCTCGGGCACCAAATTAAGAATCCGCAAAAAAAAAATAAAAAATTTCAAAATTTGAAATGGTGGCGTTTCAAAAAAATGGTAAATTTTTGGTTTTGTCCATTTTTGACCACCCAAACCAGAAACAAATTTCCGAAAAATGGCATATTCGGAAACTGGAGTTCGGGTAGATAGTATTG